AGATGTAGTAATTAACAAAGGATTAAATGACAATGAATGATAAACTTTATAATGGTCGTAAATTGCACTAGAGTTTGGTTGGGTGATAGGCCTATGATACAAAGTTTTTTAAGAGATATTTGTTAGCATGTCTAGAAGCTGTGATAAGTTCGTTTCTCCTGTTTAAGGTAGCCATGGGGGACTTGCATATTATATAGTACTTTTCCCATAAGCACAAGTTGCATCTTTTAGATGATGGGTTGAATGCCTTGGCTTGCTTGAGAATTTTCCATTTAATAGTGTAGTCTATGTTATTGTCTTTTAATTCCCATATATATTTGCTTAATTCGGTGTTGCATTTCTTTGTTGGGTTTCTGAATGAAGCAGTGAGGTTGTTGTACCGGGTTTTAAACGCGTTTTCACTTTTATTTAGGCAACGGCCAGACATGTCTACCAAGCCACAGTCGCAGCTAACAACAAAACAGACCAGACCTAAGCTACGTTCACATCAAGCCCGGATTCCGGTCCGGAGTCCGGAGAAAAAATCGTGAGAAATGGCTTTAGTGGTAAAGAATAGAAGCGTTCACATCTACACAGTCCGATTTTTTCCCCAGACTCCGGATTCGGAGCAATGGATCAGAAAGCCATTGGAAACGTGAATCCGAACGGATTTTTATTTCTGACCAATCAGCGATAAGCCCCAACGCTAGCTCTGAACTGAAACAGCTCGAAAAAAGTCAGCGCGAGAAAAGATACTGTGTGCCGTGCCGGGATTTGTTTTTGCTTTTTAATTTTATGCTGTATTTTAGGCGTAACTTGCATCACACATCAAACAACATATTCACTAAAAAAGATAAGTATATTTCTAGTTTTCTTATTAAAAATAAAGTTAAATGAACTTCTCTCAGCTCTCTACTCTAGCCTAGGCCATGTAGGCCTAGTCTAGAGTCTGAGAGAGCGTTTATCCGGCCCAGCCTAGGGGGCCCTACTAGCTAGCTTAGCTAGTAAAAAAACACGACAGCAGCGGTTGCTAGCCAAGTTGCGCATTTCCTGCAGACAGACGACAGACCCCACGGCACTAGCCTAGGCTTGATTCCTAGTGATAATAGAGGGGTGAGGTGAGGGCCTATCGTCTGTCTGTGGGGCCGGAACACGCACGCACGGCCTTTTTTTAATCAATAGGCCTACAATACATATTTATTCAACATATATTTTTATTTGGTTGTTTTTCCATCGTTTTTCCCTTGAAAAGCTCAGGATTTCTTGCAAATATGTTTACTGGTACAACAAAAACATACTTTTTTTAAAATATAAATTTGATTGCATTATGACTTTTTATATGTGTCCCTACCATTTATTTACTTGTGAACATTGGTAAATTAGGGGCAGTTTGCAAAAAAAAAAAAAAACCCACCCTCAACAGTCTTTTCTTTGATACTTTGATTTGATAGGGTGATAAACAAATAATTTTTTCATGGGGCCTAACCTGGCAGATAAACACTACAACAAGGATACCAGCTGGGAAAAAATGATGTGTGGGAGGGAAATATATAATGCTTATATCAGGCGTAGCCTGAGATTTAACTTGGCCTGGTCAATACTAGGC